GCACAACCTTTAGGGCATAAGTTTAAGGTCATGCGATTGTTAGGCAGATAACACAGCAAACCCTCTACCAGTTCAGTTGTTCCCTAAAGTTTTCCTCCATTGAGACTCAAATTTCTTGATTATAACTGTTGGGCATATGGGGATAGCTCTGATTCTGTGTGGGAACTTTCTGTACTAGCAGACTCTGATGTGAAGAGTAGATAAAAGAAAATCTCTTATCTGCTACATGCTTCCTTTCTCCCAACTCTAGACTTGTTGGTAATAAAATCAGTTTCAGTGGAAAAAATATTTTTGGCAGCATCTGTGGAAGCAAAAGGATAATTACATCTACAAAATAAAATTGTACAAATGTACAGTGTCCTAAGTCACATGTTTATGGAGCCTAAAAAACAAATTCAGTAACCAAACAATTGTGAACCGTTATCCCTTTAAAATTTCTATTTTCAAACTATTTTAAAAATTAATGTTCATTATATAAAATACCTTAATACTTAATTCTTAAGAGGGAAAATGTCATGAAGATATAAAGTTCTTTGGGTTGTTTACAACAAAAGAATTTACAACAGTTTACTAAAATTTCAGTCATAGAATTTTCATAGTCATATATATGGTAACACTTCATGAAAAATGAAGCTTTTGCTAGTTGTAACATTCTAATGAATGAATTTATTTATTTAAGTTCCCATTATATGTTATGTTCATACAATAACTTTTAGGCAGTTTGAAGAGAACACATGAAGAAGAAGATGATTTTGGAAACATGCAAGTGGCGACTGCACAGAATGGCTGATTGAAGAGCAACAGTATAGAGGATGTGAATTTCTATTTGGGAAGGAGAAAATACTACAGACAGTAATAATGTAAAATGGTAAAAACACAAGTAGTTTCTTTTCACTTATATGTTGCTTCCAGACGTGTTTCTCTGCAACTTGTTGAGCAACATTTTAAGATGTCGGACTTCTGCAATAGATGGCACTGATGGTTTTATTCCTTTTTTTTTTTTTTTAATTCTTTACAGTTTTATTATAAACAAAGAATTTTGGACTTGCAAAGAGGTATTATTGCAATAATGCACTTTTCATACTTGAAATTTATTTGTATGATATAAAGTTGTTACTTTAAACAAAATGCAAGTTAGGGGGGACTTGTTTATAAAATCTGGGTAATTTATAACAAAAGAATTTCCTAAAGTTTGCTAAAAATTCATTTTGTTTTACATATTACATTTTAAAAATAATTTTACAGTTCAATTTTATGATGGAGCCTCTTACAGAAACATTAACAAATGCAGGAATCTGCCACATTTCTTTTTAATATAATTCAATAGCTTAATTATCTTTTAGTTTTTTTAAACTTCTTGATCCCATCTTAATAATCTTTAAATCATGACATTAGCCATCTGTCCTTACTTTAACATGATCCAAGTATTGCTTCTTTTCCTACTACCTTCCTAATTTTATCCTATAGAAAAAAAAAGTTTAATGAACAAAGGAAAATGTTTCGCTTTATAATACCAGATGCTCAAAAACAAGGAGAGTTTTAAACTCAAGTGACTTTCCTTTAGCATTCTTAAAAGCCAAATGTTGTGTTTGTTCTTTTGAGTTGTGTAGCCTGTTTTTTCTTTGTCCAAAATGGTTCTAAATAGAATATAATAAACCAGTGTAGCACTATTTTTTTTCCTAAACAAAGCCCAAAAAAGAAAAGTGCCTTGCCTCATTAGAAAATATAAAAAATAAATCCTCACGTCCTCTAAATTAGTATGTAGAACAGTGAAAAGTTTTGAACGTTTTTCTGTAATTTTTTTTAAACCATAAATTAGTTCAAACTGAAAGTCTTAAGGCTTGAAGAAACCTTAGTAAATTATTTGGAATATGGAGCATTTACTCCATTTTTATGTTGTCTTAATGATTCTGTGAGATTGTTCTGGCTCAGAGAAATGCTTTTCTTTGAGGATGCATTTATTGGGGAAAAGTGATTGTGGGAGACTTCAGTGTATTATACATTAGCGTTGTAATCAGTTCTTGGCATTGCATTAATCCAAATTTCCCCCATAATTTGCATTAGCAAAGTCACTTTAGGGATCCTAGGTTCTCCATGTTTTTATTTATACATATAAAAATTGTTCTAAGAAAAACATTTTTGCTATTTTAAGTATGATGTTGGGGAGGAGAGGAGTGTTTTTAACTTTTTATAGTTGGTGATTTAGGGTAGCACAAACAAAAGTCCTTTGTATCTCACTTTCCTCAGTCCTCTCTTGAGGTGCTTTACTGATGGGACTTGTAACGTAGCAAGTTACCTACTTCGCTTTCCTCCCTAACGTGTAATAATACAGTAAAAGCTTTTTTATCCAGCAGAGCAGGAGAGTGGCAGTGAATCAAAACTGCTTTGTTAATTAAGCGTTAATTCTGCTGCCCCAGGTGGTATTCCTCTTATTTCCCTTCCCTTCCTTATTTTACCACCCTAAAATAACAGCATTATTGTCAATCCCATTGTAGTCTTGTATTCTGTTGTGTGATTAGGTCATTGGGTGTGGTGGTCTAGTATAGTCAAGATTTGCATTGAGTGTTCAGAAATTCCAGCTGGTGAAGTGCCAGATAATACAACTTTCCTGTATATAGATCATTATTGGTTAGGTCAGCAAAGATCTCTTTTGCAAACTAATAATCTGTGATGCTTCATTCCACAAAAACGGCTTAAAAGAATCTTCGTAATAGTCCATTTAGGTTTTAAAAATGAGGCAGTTAAGATTTTCTAAATTAATTTCTTAAATACACATATCCTCTCTAGTAGTCTGGCCAAGAGTACAGGTTTGGTTATTAATTTACAGTTGGTAATTTTCCACTTTTTCTAACCACTGAAATTTTTATGTTGGCACTAAAGTGCCTGCCCAGCACTGTATATTAAAGACTCCCACAAACACTAGAAAAAAGGACTGTCATCTTCTTGAGTACAAATTAATATGGACAAAAAGTTTATTCTTTCTATAAGAATACTGCAAGTTTGTTTTATCTTGGTTTCATTCTTCCACCCAGTGTTCAACTAGTTCTTCTGGTAGCTCTTCCTATTCTTCTGTTTGGTTCCATTTCTATAATTCCTCTGTTTCCACTGATGTTTTGTGATAGCTAACTACAGTACATTTAACCAATCATGATTTATTTTCTAGAATATTTGAGTAATGTATGAGTGACCCAGCACCCAATTTTAAACATTAAATATTAACCTGGGCACAGAATTTAAAATGATATTGCATCAAAACATAGGAGAACTGCTTTATTTTCCATTTTGAAAGTATGAAACTTCAATATTGAAAATATTCAAACTGGAATGGCAGTATTCTTACCTTGTAATTTCAGTCCATTGGTTCCTGTTAATTTCTTATCAGATGTTTAAACAGCAGTTACCTTTGTTTATTTGTATCTACTCTGTGGTGGAAGTATTAAACCATGATACCCTTTGCTACCAACTCTCAACCACCTAACTTTCAGAGCAGACTATTTGTTTTGGGAGGATTTTGTGCTTCATCTGAGTTTAGAAGTAATGTCAGAAAATGTTAAGCATGTCCTTTTAAAGAAAATATAAGGTTTATAATTGTCTTATTACCATAGTAATTTAAATGAATTAGAAGTATTTAACTGCAATCTTGAATTATAAAGTTGGGATGCATATATAGAGATATATATCAAAATCTCAACTTGATGTAAAGTAAATGAGCAGTTACCTGGCAGACTTTTTTTTTCAGATAACTGTTTAATCCATAATTCCATAACAAACTTAGCTTCACTTCAATATTTATTTGTCCATTCATCAGTGCTCCAATAGGTAAATGATAGGAAATAGCTGAAAATTACTAAAAGATTTTTTTTTTTTTATTGATTAGAAAAATAAGTTTCTAGGGTCTTTGAATGCTGGATTTTTTTTTTTTTGTCTTATCCATCCATGGCAGCTAAAAAAAAAAAAAAATCACTCAAAATATTCAGGTTTACATGCTAGCTCTCTCTCATAGGGAGTTGCCATACCTCACAGTTCAAAGTGTATTTTGTAGATCAGTAACATTATACTGACATGTAATTGCAATTTACTATGCAGCAAAAATAATTCACAAAGAAAAATAACCTACAGTGTCTATTTACCTTTGTATAGACAATTGCTTAAGTTACTCTGCTTTTAACATCTGTACTTGGATCAAATGCTTATGTATGTATAGGAATGTCACAGTGCAAGATGCTGCTAGCTCAGGCACAAAGTATTAAAATTATTTTGTGAAGATTGATGGTTGTATTAAAACTGGTGTGCCATTATACCTCAAAAAGATTGAAAAGCTCATTTATACTGCTTATGCCTCAGAACCTCTTTACTTAGATTGTTGTCTTCTAGGTAAAAGTAACCCAATTTTAGTCCCACACAGATTAAGAAGGATGAATGAACAATGGATATTGAGAAGCACTTAAGAGTATTTTCTAAAACATTGTGATCACACATAAAAATTATGGTCAGTACACGGAAGGCCCAAGTTTCAGCTCAAGTATATATTTTTTTGGGGGGGTGGTACGCGGGCCTCTCACTGTTGTGGCCTCTCCCGTTGCGGAGCACAGGCTCCGGACGCGCAAGCTTAGCGCCCATGGCTCACGGGCCTAGCCGCTCCGTGGCATGTGGGATCTTCCCGGACCGGGGCACGAACCCGTGTCCCCTGCATCGGCAGGCGGACTCTCAACCACTGTGCCACCAGGGAAGCCCCAGCTCAAGTATATTTTAAACAATTAGTTGAACAAGTTTGGAGTTGAAAGTGAGGAAATTTGTGAATGAAGGAAAGGGTAAGGCCACATCCATAGAACAGCTTCCAGCTCATTAAAAAAAATACTTTTTGCTTTCAGTTTTCCCCTTGTTAGCCTACCTACATAATATTCTTCATCAAATCTAAGACATCATCATTAGCATCTCTACACCACCTTTTTGATCCTACTAAAAGGCAAAAATTGCTGAATAAACTAAGACAAGCCACCGATCATAAAATGCATCCACATTTCCAAATGTTACATGTAAAAAAGAAAAAAAAGTGCTTGAGAGTCAGTGAAATACAAATATATAAAATACATGGAGCAAAATAAAAATCACAATTGCCACTTCGTTATACCTTTTCAAAAGTAAACAATGCTCAAAAGTGTATATATTGAAATGTTCTATGCAGTTTTTTTCATACTCAATTTTACCCACAAAATGGCTTAGAAAAATCAAATTTCTCTGGTTAACTAAAGCTAAATACAGATCATCAGTTTCCTCAATTTTTATGTATTACACCTTACCTACAACTCTATTTCCTGTAGGGGGGGATTTAAGATAAGACCTTAAGAACACTATTTAAAGGGATTTATTGAAATAGCCACCTTATAGTTTTACTTCAAATTGTTCAGTGGTAAGAAATGAAATAAAGCATTTAATTTTGCCTTTTATTAGGGTTTTTTTTGGTGTTTTTTTCCTGGCCATGCAGCACAGCATGCGGGATCTTAGTTCCCCAAACCAGGGATCGAACTCGTGCCCCCTGCAGTGGGAGCACAGAATCTTAACCACTGGACCACCAGGGAAGTCCCTATTAGGTTTATTTGTTAACAGAGGTTTTAAATTACCAGACTGTACCTAGTAAAGCTGGTGTTATCAAGGTTATAGGACTCCTAAAAAAGCAAAACTTAGCTTTGTTGCTTTCACTAGGGACAGATCAATTCATCTGCCTATATCATTAGCAGGTGAGTAGTACACCCTCTGTTGGTGAAGAATTTCTGTTGTTTTAGAAAGCCGACTTTAGCTTTACTGCATGGAGGGAAATCTGAAATCTAGTTGAGGTAGGTGAGAATCAAAGGGATGAGAAACAGGTGATCTTTACTTTCTAAGCTCCTTTTACAAAAGGTACACAAAACTAAGATTTTATGAACCATGACTTGACCTAATAATTCAATAGACAACTCAAGAAAAGCACAGAAAACATTTAGATTCTAACAAAAGACTATTCATATGAACAGGTTTAATGTAACATGAAATGTAAAAGATTCGAACCAGTAGTGAAGTATCTAATTCTTATTTCAACTTAAAAAAAATAATTAAAATAAATAAAATCAAAATAGGATAGTGACCAGAATAGTACCATTATAATCACATTAAATAGAAAAGCTTCCATCAACATTTTAAGAATGTAATAAATGCAGTATGATACATTTTAAAATACTCCACTCAATTTTGTAATCCATTTTCATAAAAATGTTACTCAGAAGAGAGGCTCAGACACCCATGGAAAAATGAGAAATCAGCTTAGAAATACATAATATGCCAGGATTTACTAATTCACTGTTAAAAAGTACCTTATATTTCTCTTAGATATTTTAAACAAATGAATAATTATTACATTTAACATATAAGACAGGTGGTACTTCAGCTACATTAGAATTATATCAACTTTTAGATGTACATTTAAATTGTCACATTTTATAAGAAGTTAATTTTCATTTCTCCTTATTTTAAAGGCTCACCAGGTTTGCCAGTACAGTATTAGGATCAGCAAATGTTGGACTGAACTACATTTAGTTATAATATGTCTAACATCCAATTTCACGTAATATATGTGAAATGATACACCCCTATGTGGTATTTAGATATATTTCTTTGAAAAAAATATTAATTTTATGAATGTGATAAGAAACAGCCTTATTCACTGTATGCTTTTTTTTTTTTAATGAGCAGTACAGATAGCAGACATATAACTTCTTACTACCTATACTGACTACTAAGAAATAAAGCCGAACTTTAGAAAAATACAATGCAAGAAAAGATTCAAGTTAAAAATATACTCCTTTGGTTAAAAATCATCCCCTTAACAATTTCATCTGTAATCTAAACTCAGCATGTCTCACCAGCCCAAAGTAATCTTCTAAATGTCATTATACTTGTATTACAGTGTTTTTTTCAATCCAGTATTTATGGAGGTCACTGGGTTGCGGCAACAAAATACTTTAACTCTAGGAAGAGAGTGTAGCCTTGTTGCATCAGCTCCTTTGACAGATGTCTTTCTTAAAGGTTTTACTTTAGAAACCTCTGACACATGTAGTTTTCTTCAGATACTGTATATCCAAACTTTTTATAGAAACCAGCGTTTTGTGGTAGACATTCAAGGGTAATCTTATAACAGTTCAGTTTCTTGCTTAGCAAAGTAAGGGTTGATAATAACCTGAAATTAAAGAAAAAAAAGGTAGGCAAGGCATAGAGCATTTGTTAATAAAAATGGATTTTAGTAACAATGTGAGTGACTATCACATAAAACTTCAAGTTTTTGTTACAAATAGGTTTATTAGATCATGGCCCTTCCCACTATATTCATTTAAACATTCAAATTGTAAGTGGTTAAACATTTAAATCACCCAAAGCATTTGATTTTGTTTCAAATATACTTTAGTAATCTCCAGCCCATTAATAAATAGAACAAATATTATCCTAAACCCTGAACTCACCCTAAACCCTCTTTAATAGGTTTTAACATTAATATTAACACCAAAGACTAGAAACCTTTTTAAAAATATGGCCAAAATTAATCTTTTTCTCTAGATCTATTCAAACTATTTAGGAATAGCCAACATAAAATGGGTAAATAATTGCTTTGTTCTTTATCATTTTTAAAGTTACTTAAATATTTGTGAAAGAATGTATTAGGTTAACTCTGGATTGGTTGTAACAAGTGTAAACAAGTGTAACAAGTGTAAACAAAGCAAAAATGTATACATCTTTATAAAAACTAGGAAAGATCTACAAAAATTTACCTGAAGGGTTTTCTCATGTTGTATAGATTGAAAAATCTTATTCTGAAGACAGAACCTCTTGATTGAAGTTACACAATTATAAAAGGCATGACTAAGTTACATGGACTAGAAATACTGGAAATTGGTCTCTTTCATTCACTGATGTATACCAAATACCTTGAATAGTATCTGGCATATAGCAGGTGCTTAATATTTACTGAGTGAATTCCTTAAAACTCAGAAGGGATAATATTAAAAAGCAAGTTCTATTTTATAAATAAGCAATAAACCTATGAAACTTACTTTAAAAGATTTAGATAAATGTATAGAGGATTACACTGTGAAGGCTGTTTCAGTACATGCTTCTAAAACTTCGTAACTGAGAACATTTCCTTTGTTTTTAAATATGACAGAGAAACGGACAAATTACTTGGCTCACCAAAAGTTTGTTTCCTACTACTATAAGAGTACTATTGGGGCTTCCCTGGTGGCGCAGTGGTTGAGAGTCCGCCTGCCAATGCAGGGGACACGGGTTCGTGCCCCAGTCCGGGAAGATCCCACATGCCACGGAGCGGCTGGAGCCTGTGCTTCCGCAACGGGAGAGGCCACAACAGTGAGAGGCCCGTGTACCGCACAAAAAAAAAAAAAAAAAAGGTACTACTATTAAAAGTTAATAACTAAGGTGTTGCTGTTTTAACAGTACACTTCCAATTTCCAAACTTTATGGTAAAAATTATATTAAAATACCTTATTTCTTCATTAAATTCAGTCTAAGCTATGGAGTGAGAATGAGTTCATAATTAATGATGCTTAAAAAACTTCAAACAGTAAAACACTTTTAAAAAAGTATCTTGCAAGAAACTATAAACTGAAACACAAAGAGTATCTAATTTATCCAGGGTTACCTTGTTTCTGCCTACTTACAATTTGCCAAGCTGCTTTCCTCTGCATTCATCACTAACAACAACATCTTCTACTCTTCCTCTCTGAAAATATTTACAATGTTTAAAGGACTAAGCATGTAGTTTTGTTTTAGTTAAATCAACAAGTGACGGTAAGAATTAATTGATAAATGTTTTGTAAGCCTGAACTTTGCAAAATGCAAAGTTTTTTAACTTACTGTTATAGAGGAGATAATACAATCAATCAATTTGTGGCCTAATTTTGCTTTGTCTGTATCTTAAACCTTCCCACCCCATTATTTTAAAGCAAGTCTCAAAATCCACATCACCAAAATGTAATCTTGTCATGAATGTACTACATCCATCATCCTACTCCTTGCTTAATTGCAATTTATTTCAGACATCCAAATACAGTTTATTAATTTCTAGTACAGAAACCACACCAAAATTCATACTTCACAGAATAATTCCAGGTGTTTTCTATCATATTCTCATTGGATTACCTAGGTTTTTTCTTTACTATTTCATGTGAGTCATGAGGAGTGAAGGAAATCTACAGGCATTAGAAGTGTCACAATTAGAACAGAATATATTATTCTGAACCCTTTACCACTGGGAAACTGATGGGAATTTGTGTTAATGTAGTATATTCAAAGTATTGTTTTTGAATAAAAATTAGCATTAGAGATTCCAAACATTACTGCCAAATTCCACGATGCTGACTCGATTTCTCTTTGTCTATACCAATTCTAACACCTTACAGAACAATTTTTAGCAAACAATTCATATATTAACACATTTTCTTCCTCATAACTCTTAGAAGACAATGGGAAATTGACTGTTACTAAGTGATTTCTAAGAAGCAAAACTTTTATTCTAGCCAATATTTGGCTCTCTCATTTTACAATAAAAAGCAGTGGGAAAACAGACTTGTCTAATGGTAACTCAAAGTCGATTTTGCTAGAAAACACATATCCATTTTACTCATAAGCATTAATATGAACTCATACCTTAGCACAGGAATGGATGAATTTATGTTCTATTATCAGAGTTGCTGTAGCAACTATCTGTCCTAAAGTTACATCTTCCACGACTGTAACATAATAATCCCCAGATTTCTTCATGTGCTCAAAAGATTCTGTGGAAATTGGAAAATAGTGTTATGTGGCAGACATTAAACTTTATTAGGTGCCAGAAAAATACTAGAATTAGCTTACTTCAATAAATATTATTGAATATTTATAGCTATTTTACCACAGTAATTTTAAAGAAAATATCAATTATTAAAAATGACCAAGTAGTTGAAATATCAGCAATCAATATCAACTGGGACATAGTCCATACGTTTAAAAAAATCTTCTAGCAAAATAAAGTAAGACTAAGATAGCTATTTTAGATGAACAGCACTTAAAATACAAATAAATTGTACATGTTGCCATTACTGTGATTAGTGTATGAAAACTTTTATATCTTCATTACTAGTTAACTTTAAATTAATTAACGTTTTCACTTAACAGATATTCACGCAGAACAAAACTCTTTGCAAATTTTAATAAGAGAATGTTTATGTGTCTCCATTCTTTAATTTTTAGTCTTTTGATTTTAAAATAACTTGACAAAGTAGTTTTCAATTTTCCCTTTGTGCTCTCAAGTGTTCCATGATTACATGACCTGTTTTAGAAATAGAATCATCATTTTTGTTTGCTTTGAAAGCACCTTGTGAAGTAGATAAAAAAATAAGTCTTCATTTCCCAGCTTTTCCCAAAGCCACATAGCAAACAGGAGCAAAAGTGGAATAAATATCTTCCCCTCAAATTGACTTTTAGTACTTATATTGATGAAATAACATGATTTTTCATCTAATCTGATATGCCTGCAAAGAAGAATTCAAGAATAAAAACTGAGCCTAACAGTCTCAACATACTGTTTATTTCCACAGTCTTGTTCTAGTAATGGGTCTGGAGTGGGAAGAAATAAATTCAATGAAGGAAAAGAAACAATGAGAATCAGGAAATAATAATCTTCATCTCAGGAAGGTCATATAGAGTACAAAATAAAATTACCTATTGAAGGAAATGAAGAAAATAGGAAGACACTGTTAAGAGCATTGGATGGAGTCAGGAAGGTGGTAGTTCTTTTCTTACCAATAACTTCCTGTGATCTTGGGAAGTCATTTGGCCTGTCTTTTAATTTCCATCCTCTCATATGTATTAAAAAGGGGGAGGGATGAACTAAAAGATACCTGCCAACCTTAAAATTCAATATAAATGAACCAAAAAATAAATTTAGAACATATTTTCTTACATTTTTGATTGGGTGATGAAATTTCTGTGAAATGACCTAACCACATGAAAGGTAAACACTACAATAAAAAACACTCTCTAAGGTTGCCACACAGGCTCTGTGCTACAGTAATTATCTAAAAGTAGCCAGGTATTTTGTAAAACATGGTAGTTGCTACATTTGGATTCTAAAACAGTTCAGCTACATTAAACAGTTAAATAAGAAAATAGCTAATTTGTTATTTGAATAATTTCGAGCTATTTGAACAAAACCACAAGTAGACACTGAACAGAGCTCTAAACAAAAATAAAATCTTGTTTCCCTTTATTTCTTTTCCTTCAGGAAAAAGAGACTGTAGGACTTACTCATAAATTGTTCCGGGTTGACAACTCCAGTCTCTGTCAGCTGACCTAGTACCTTAAAAAAACCTAGTTTTGAAAAACAGATTTCAAGTCATGAGAACAGCAAATGAAATATATATCAAAAGAAGTAATGTGTCAAGCTGGTGAGCAATTATTTTTTCAAAACTTTATGTAATGAACTATTTTAAAAGATTAAACTGAAACCCATTATTCTTTCTATTATCACTACGTAAAACAAATAGTAGTAGGTTTTACCAATGTTTTTGCCTGCATAACATTTTTGGAATAGTGCTGACCTTAATACTCAGTATTTACAGAACCAGCATGTACAGTTTTCAATGTAATTTGCATTACATTCAACACAAGGGATGCCGAATTTTCCCAAATATGTGCTTTGGTTTTACTTAAAAATGCAAGATTCTCATTATGACCAAATATGATACTATTTGTAAAATAAAATATAAATAACATTGTTGAGACTACAGTTTTTAAAGATTCCTGATTAATTTCATTAATTTCAACTTTAAATTAATGTGAATAGCATAGAATGTTGAGAATCTTAACTTCTATACACCCAATAATTAATATGACCAAAATATAATAGTTTCTTAAGATTTCCTACCAAGAAGAAAACTGTAAAAAGTTAATTTTTGATTACTGAAATTTAAGGAAGTCATTTTGGAGAATTTAGATGTTAAAAAAAGGAATACATGTAGACAAAACCTTTTGCAACTTATCCAAGGCAAATTATCTTTATCCTCATTCTCCATCCAGCTTCTTAGAGAAGATTCTTCCTTACGTGTCATTATACAAGATAATTTCCCCTTTTTGGCTGCTTAATTAGGAAGGAACACTGTTGTATTTAAGTCATTTGAAATACTGTAATACAGTACTGTAATACAGTAACATCTGGTCTGTACACATTGGAATTGAGTTCTCAGTCACTTTAAAATTTAAGCACAAAGAATAATATAAAAGTCCAATAGTATTTTTAAAAATTATAGGCATCATCATCATGTTTGTGGAGAACACAGAATGCTAACTATAAGTCTAACCAGAATTTGTAAACTGAGTCCATACCTCTATTTAAATCAGCAGTACAAAGAGGCCTCAAAACCAAACCTTCTCCAGGATGTGTTGGGGAAATGGCTGGAGAAAATGTAGCTGTATTCTGACTCCAGTCCACTTCTTTGAGTAGACTTGGGTCAAACATAGGCGTTTCATCAGGTTTCATCTTTGCAGTAAGGTCTAAAATAAAATTTTAAATGTTAAGCCATTTTGTTTAATAGAAGATTGTTGATTGTCAAGAATGTCAATTTTTTTTTTTTTTTTTTTTTGGGGTTCGTGGGCCTTTCCCCCCTTTGGCCTTTCCCGTTGCGGAGCACAGGCTCCGGACGCGCAGACCCAGCGGCCATGGCTCACGGGCCCAGCTGCTCCGCGGCACGTGGGATCCTCCCGGACCGCAGCACGAACCCGTGTCCCCTGCATCGGCAGGCGGACTCTCAACCACTGCGCCACCAGGGAAGCCCAAGAATGTCAATTTCTTAATAAAAATTAATGCGTTAGAAAAATTCTTTAACAGGTATGCAAGATATTTTATTTTAGCCTATCCTGACTCTAACATCAAATGCCACAGCTAGAGCTCTATAGAAAACTCACAGATTCTATCAGACAGTAAACAAGTGACTAAATTTAGAAGTTTTACACTTGAAAACTCCATTTTCTAATAGGACCTTTAAAGCATTTTTTCCTCTGGGTCAGTGCTACTAGTGTAGCACTGTGAATAGCTGACTTTTCAGGAGCTTTTTTTTTTTTTTTACATTATTTAATTTTATTATTGGGCTAAGGAGTAACTCATCAGTTTTACCTGACACTAAAGAAGACTTACTGGGTGTGTAACTTTTTTAAAAATTATTAACCATGAACAGAAAATTCTCTGCATTCACTGGAATATTTGGTCTCAGCTATGATAGATTCACACCAAGACTATCTACTGGATTTTGTTTTCACAGCAGTCTTTCTAAAAATCTATAAGTTTCTCAGCTACATCTAAGCAGCTTAAGAATAGCCAGTGTCACAAAAACAGAAATATAGATCAATGGAACAGGATAGAAAGCCCAGAGATAAATCCACGCACATATGGTCACCTTATCTTTGATAAAGGAGGCAAGAATATACAATGGAGAAAAGATAGCCTCTTCAGTAAGTGGTGCTGGGAAAACTGGACAGCTACATGTAAAAGAATGAAATTAGAACACTCCCTAACACCATACACAAAAATAAACTCAAAATGGATTAAAGACCTAAATGTAAGGCCAGATGCTATCAAACTCTTAAAGGAAAACACAGGCAGAACACTCTATGACATAAATCACAGCAAGATCCTTTTTGACCCACCTCCTAGAGAAATGGAAATAAAAACAAAAATAAACAAATGGGACCTAATGAAACTTAAAACCTTTTGCACAGCAAAGGAAACCAGAAACAAGATGAAAAGACAACCCTCATAATGGGAGAAAATACTTGCAAATGAAGCAACTGACAAAGGATTAATCTCCAAAATTTACAAGCAGCTCATGCAGCTCAATATCAAAAAAATAACCCAATCCAAAAAAGGGTAGAAGCCCTAAATAGACATACAGATTGCCAACAAACACATGAAAGAATGCTCAACATCATTAATCATTAGAGAAATGCAAATCAAAACTACAATGAGATATCTCACACTGGTCAGAATGGCCATCATCAAAAAATCTAGAAACGATAAATGCTGGAGAGGGTGTGGAGAAAAGGGAACACTCTTGCACTGCTGGTGGGAATGTGAATTGATACAGCCACTATGGAGAACAGTATGGAGGTTCCTTAAAAAACTAAAAATAGAACTACCATACGACCCAGCAATCCCACTACTGGGCATGTACCCTGAGAAAACCATAATTGAGAAAGAGTCATGTACCACAATGTTCACTGCAGCTCTATTTACAATAGCCAGTACATGGAAGCAAACTAAGTGCCCATCAACAGATAAATGGATAAAGAAGATGTGGCACATGCATACAATGGAATATTACTCAGCCATAAAAAGAAACGAAATTGAGTTATTTGTAGTGAGGTGGATGGACCTAGAGTCTGTCATACAGAGTGAAGTAAGTCAGAAAGAAAAATACTGTATGCTAACATATATATGGAATCTAAAAAACAAAACAAAAAAAGGTCATGAACCTAGGGACAAGATGGGAATAAAGATGCAGACCTACTAGAGAATGGACTTGAGGATACGGGGAGGGGGAAGGGTAAACTGGGACAAAGTGAGAGAGTGGCATGGACATATATACACTACCAAATGTAAAATAGCTAGTGGGAAGCAGGTGCATAGCACAGGGAGATCAGCTCGGTGTTTTGTGACCACCTATAGCGGTGGGATAGGGAGGGTGGGAGGAAGGGAGATGCAAGAGGGAAGAGATGGGGATATATGTATATGTATAACTGATTCCCTTTGTTATAACGCAGAAACTAACACACCATTGTAAAGCAATTATACTCCAATAAAGATGTCAAAAAAAAAAAAGCCAGTGTTTTTCATGCTATTGAAAAATGATCAATTACGGTATTTTCCTCTCTTTTGAACATTCAGAAATGGTCAGGTTCTTATTAGGTGTGGTCTAATAAAACTGAGACTTAAATAAGATATAATGATAGAAAGAATGAAAAACATATGAAGCATAAAAATGGCTGGGGGGGGGGGGGCGGTGCTTCCCTGGTGGCGCAGTGGTTAAGAATCTGCCTGCCAATGCAGGGGACACAGGTTCAAGCCCTGGTCCGGGAAGATTCCACATGCCACGAAGCAACTAAGCCCATGTGCCACAACTACTGAGTCTGCGCTCTAGAGCACGCGAGCCACACCTACTGAAGCCCGTGCGCCTAGAGCCCGTGCTCCGCAACAAGAGAAGCCACTGCAGTGAGAAGCCTGCACACCACAACGAAGAGTAGCCCCCGCTCGCCGCAACTAGAGAAAGACCGCACACAGCAATGAAGACCCAACGCAGCCAAAAAGAGAAAAAAAAGGCTGGTGGGGCACACTTCTGTGGAACAGAGCTGCTGGAGGAAAGTCTTTCTAACAATTATTAGGAGATTGTAAGGCAACCCTGAACTTTGATTTGTAAGCCCATGCCCAGCTAAAGAAACCACAGTTGACCCTTGAACAACATGGGTTTAGGGTGCCAATCCTCCACACAGTCAAAAATGCGCAGTTGAAAAATCATGTATAACTTATGGTCGGCCCTCTGTATCTGCAGTTTCATATCCGTGGATTTAACCAACCTTGGAATGTGCAGTACTGTAATATTTACTGTTGAAAAAAATCTGTATATAAGTGGATCCTTGCAGTTCAAACCCGTGTTGTTAAGGGTCAACTGTATTCTATTTGATACCTGCCTGTACTTCTTTGAAACAAAGAATTTAAAGATATATATCCATAACATACTACCATAAAACAAGAAAGCAATGCCAGAAAAATTAAAGTCCACTTAGTAACAGAACAATTTCCCCAATAACCCAACTCCCAGATGTTCCCTATTTCATAAGTCACAATATGCTTAAGGGCAACTATTCTTAAGTTTTCCTTAAAGGTCGACTGAACTGTATAACCCTATGTAACTATTATATATAGTTTATATATATATATATATAATATATATATATATATATACTCTGCTGCAGTATAGCAGAGGCTTTGGGAAGGTACTGTGATGTAATAATAGAAGTTAACATTGGTTCAGCACTTATGTGCCAGCATTGTTCAAAGAACTTTACACATTACTAATTCACTTACTATAACAATCCTACAGGGTAGGGATGATTATTATCTCCATTTCAACAGATGAGGAAATGCAGGTGTAGACAAGTAACTTGCCCAAGGTCACAGAATTAGCAAAGCTGAAATTGAAACCTAGACATGGAAAGAGCATGAGCTCTGGAGTCAGACCTGGTGTTCAAACATCAACTGTGTGATGATGGCTAAGGAAGTTAAACTGAGAATGTTTCCTCATTTGTAAAATGGAGATGAAACTGTTAGAAGAAATGAATTACTGTATACAAGTACCTAACAGTGCCTGGCACAGGGCAAGTGTTCAACAAGATACACTGATACTTCAGTTAGCAACTAATTTAAAATTTATTTTTATACGTCCTTGTTAACTTTGTTCACCTTTAAATTAATTCATGAGTCAGGCACTGTGCTGGGTACAGGAGCTACAAAAAGATGATCTATTATGTTTATGTTAAACTGAAAGCATTCGTGGAAAGGAAAGAAAGAACTTTAAAAATAATAGATACAAAAATAAATAAATAATAGTTACTATGTAGAATACTGAGAGGTTTGTTTTCTTTCCCTCAAAAAGGACTCAGATCATGTTATGCTGTAAAAACTATGCCTGGATCTAAGAATAGTAATGTAAGGAAATTGTGATGATTAAAACAATCATTCATAAAATTTAACAAGCTTATGGTCCACTTGAAACAGATTTTTTTGTAGATTAATTTTAGTGCATGCAGTTTAGTATTTGTCCCTGATAATTGGACCCCTGAGGCTTTTGAGAGTACTCTAATCTGAAAGATGGATAACAAAATTGTTTTTCAGGTATACAGATAAACAGGCTAAATATTTATCAATAAAGTAAAATGTGTACACTAAGTGCAGAAGTCAGAAAGTATTACAAATTTAAGTTCTTCAAGACAACATACCATTTAAACATTTTGATGTTCATGCTATTTAACATACAGTTGTAAGCATGAAGTTTAAAGAAAGCTCAAAAGGAAATGTGGATGGACATTAAGATAATTTAAAGTTAACTAGATTTCTTCTTCCTATAAAGTTGCCTGAGTTTACAATGAAATGTGCCTAGAAAACTCGCAAAATAGGGTTAATAATTTCTGAGAGAGAGGGGAGGTACACAGGAGAAGAATTAGGATTATGAAGCCTTTAAAGGATTTTAAACAGTAAATACTAATATTTTCCTGTGCTTTTCTTTAATCGATGGTCTTATTCCATGAATGATAAAAATAAATGATGCTGGCTAATATTTATTGAGTACTTTATATACAAATGAAAATACAATGAAAGATCTGACTAGAAAGCAGGCACAGTAACTAGCTCAAGATAACAGAGCAAATAAGGAAGAGTGAGGATTCGCAACCAGGGCCAGCTTCAAGGACACAGGGCCCCGCACTTAATTCTCTGCTGCCACTGTCGAAATTGTTAATGTTGCCACAAATTATGCAACCATTCCTGCGTGACTCCAGACTCTATACTCTGTAGTACTGAAGAGGCACTAGTGAAGGTGAATTCTCTACTTTATTGTGCAAGAGTTTAAAATTTAGTCAAAGCAGCACTTATATTTGGAAAGTAAGAATTTCAGGCTAGTTAAAGTACTTAATGCATTCTGGATAGAAATAAGAATCCATATTCTTATGGCAATCAAAAATTAATATCAAGGGACTTCCCTGGCAGTCCAGCGGTTAAGACTTAGCCTCCCATCGCAGGGGGTGCAGGTTTGATCCCTGGTTGGGGAGCTAAGATCCCACATGCCTCGTGGCCAAAAAACCAGAACATAGAACAGAAGCAATATTGTAACAAATTCAATAAAGACTTTAAAAATGGTCCACATCAAAAAAATCTTTAAAAAAATTAATATCAAAATGTTTACATGAGCTATTTTACAAAACAGAGCCATACTTAAGGTTACCTTCTTTTATCTTATTCTGTCCCCATACAGTAAATTCTGCTGGTGCCCAATTAATATGCTGGGCAAGTTAAAGTAAGATGTGATTTGATACTAAATTTCAAAAGCATTTATAAAAGAGAAAAACAGGTAAATTTATTTGGTTTACAAAAGAAATAATTTTCAGCATCTTAAAGTGCCCGCAGGTACCACAATATAGGAAATTTCAGTAAACAGAAATGCACAGTTGTTTGAAGCTGAATTTCACCATTATCATTGGGGTCTTATTTTGTTTTGTTTCTTTTGGTTTTGGTTTTTTTGGCCACGCTGCTTGTGGGATCTTAGTTCCCCAACCAGGGATCTAACCTGGGCCTACAGCAGTGAAAGTGCCGAGTCTTAACCACTGGACCGCCAGGGAATTCCCTCATTGGGGTCTTATTTTGAAGATTTTAGATTAATTTTAAAAAGTAAACCCTAACCCTTCTTAAGTATTTCTCAAGTACCTTTTCTGTTTAACTACTAAGTTAACAAGCATTTAAAGGCCCATATATGCCTAACCTTAGCCCAATAAATGCCTAGTGAATGAATAATGAATGGTATAAGACTTATCTGGAGATCACATTTCAGAATATCTAGAAGAAAAAAAGATTACCAAACTGCTACAAGTGATATCACAAAAACCATACACCAAATTCATTTTTACTAAGATCACATCAGGTTTTCAGTCGGTTGACCATTCTTTGGACACAGTTTCAACAGTTTTCTCAGCATCTATAGTGCACTAGAATATACGTGGGGAGGAGCTGCTGCTAGAATCAAGCAACTGAGAGCAACAAGTAATAAGATACTGGGAATGAAGATTTCAAAAGTTGATATAAAAATTAAAAAAAACAATCTAAGGTCAAATCTAAATGGACTTTACATATCTCAAGAGCTTTCGGGGCATTACTGTATGACTTCAGTACATGGTTAAAGCAGGAAGGGGGCCCGTGTGCTGTTTGAGACTTTGGGGTTCGTCTACATACATTTTATAACTATTTCAATAGTAATTTGACTGAATTGTGAATCTAAAGAACACTTCATTCGGTGATGATTTTAATAGGCCTAGCTATATTTATTAAATTATGCAATTACACTTCAGTTGAGAATTTTAAAATTTCCTGATAGTTTATTTGATCCCTGTGACTTAGGCATTATTCCCAGTCTACCCATGAGCAAGCTGGAGCACGTGGAGCTTTCAGTACTTGACCCCAAGGTAACACAGCCAATGAGTGAATTGGGACTAAATCCTCCGATGTTGTTCTCCCGTCTTGAGCTCTACAGTACCATACTCAATAGAAGCCAATATTTACATCATCGTGCCAGACAGGGAGGCGTCTCCCCTATTCTAAAGAATGTCAGTGAATCCTGCCTAATGAAACTGACCTAAATGATTTCTTGAGGTCCATTCTAGGATTTATTCACGAGTGTATATCCTAACAAAACTATAGTCGCCCTTCAATTTTGTATGAAATTTTAAGAGTTCGATTTACATAAACAGCTCCTATAAGAGAAATCACAGTACTCAGTGTTTCTAGGGGTAGAAGCCCCCGGAAGAGACAAAGGATGTCCGTCTTTCCTGCGGTGAAAACCCCGATTTAGTCAGTGCAGGTGATCTTCGGAGCAGAATCATGTCCTCAAGTGGCTCCTGACCGCCGTGGGGTGCTACGCGGAAAGGAACGGTGTTAAACAGGGCCAGAGGCGTTCGTGCCCATTTCAAAACCGATGGCGGCAGAGACTGTGAACAACTGTCTCAATCCCCCACGCTAAAGCCTGACGAACGAAAAATTAGTTTCGACCTCAGTCTCTGTTCCTGCCTGCTAGGGCCACCTCCTGCACGGCTGGACCACTGGCCATCATCCCTAACCTCTGCTCCACACGTGTGTCCGCTCAACTTGCTCCAAACTGCCCTCTACGCCCTCATACGCACCCAGCTGGCGAAGATAAATGCCCGGCTCCCCGAACGGAACCTCCCCCCGCCCCGGACCGGGCCTAGGCCGCCTCGCCCGGGGGTAGCAGTCACACCTGTTTGATAAACCTGAAGGGCAGGCCCAAGCCGGCACCCAGGGCATCCGGCCGGGCCCCGCTCTCTCTCCCCGACCCCCGGTCCCCCTCACCCATAGAGACCTGCAGTCGGCGCTCCTCTCCAGGCCCGTCGGATTCTCACCCACCCGGGTACACAGCACTAGATCCACATCCGGCTTCAGCGGCAGCCCCACCTCCTCCACCTCAGGCTCTACAGTCTCCCGCAAGGCCGCCGCTCCGCGAGCCGCCGCCAGGACGTGGCAGCACCGACACCTCCAGCCCGCCCCTGCCCGCTTACGTACGGCCGCTTGCAGGCGGAGGAGGCAACTGCGGGCGGAGGCGGGGTCGAGAGCCTGGGGGCCGGGAGGGGCGGGGCCTGCGGTCGGCGTCAGCACGTGAGGCGGCGGCGGAGACGTCGTGGGGACTCCACCAGGCAGGCGTGCCGGCAACGAGTCTTGGCACCGCGCGGCACCTGCTCCTCGCTCACTAAGGCTTCCCCCACGGCCTCAGCGTCTCGGTTTAACTGGACATAATTCTGCCTCGGAGTCAGCTAAGCACTGTAAGTGGTGACTAGTGTGTGCATCTTTGGTTCCCAGAGACCAGAGTCTCGGCCTCTTCCCTCTTCGTTTGCCCCTCGTTGCACCTTCCCTTCGTAGTCAGTTCTTTCATTGATTAGGACTTCGGCTACTCGCTGGAGGCTCGAATCTCCTCATCCCCAGTTTTCTGAGTCACACATCCTGCCTCTGTGAGGTGGGACCCCTGCATTCTACTCTGAGACTACGTTTTATTTCTCGCTCAGATCCTTTTTGGATGAACACGGGGGTTAGGACAATGATTCTCAGCTGCGGCGATTTTGCCTCCCAGGAGGCAGTTGGCAATGTGTGGTCATTTTCAACCTCAAGTCTGGGTGAGAGGTGTTACTGGCATCTCTCCAGATGATAGAGGGTAGATATGGGTAGAGATCAGGCATGCTGCGACATGTTTTACAATACAGAGGACAGCTCCCCACAATAAAGAATTACCTGGCCTGAAATGTCAGTATTGCTGAAGTTGAGAAACTCTGGGTTAGGAGAAGAAAACTGACTTTTCTCTGTACTCCCACTTACAAAGCGTCTTACCTAACTAGCACGTGCCCTCATTTTACAGATTGGGAAAGAGTTTCAGAGATGTTAAGTAATTTGCCGAAGTTACGTAGCTAGTAGCTCCCATTCCTTGCCTTGTACCATAAATTTCAACTGATTGAAATTGTTCTTAATACGGTTCAAAGAATTAACACCATATATAGTCTGCCAGAAATAATATTTTCTGCTTATTTGTGAGACTTAAATTTCAGATAACTCTTTTGCTGATTGATGTATTCTCATAACTTCAAATATCTCTGTATCTATCCTTGTTTTTACCCTTAAACATACAAAAGAATTAAGACATAAACAAAAATAAACACCACTAATCTTAAACATATAGCCTTGTTTTCTTTCAGACTTCTGGCCCTATGTTTACAATGAGCTCCTCCTGAGCAAAAGAACCCTGTAAATTTTATCATTTATCAGAGTGAAACAATTAATTATAAAATGTATCAGAGACCACAGGAGTTCTAAGAGGTACCCCCAAAGATCTGCATTTGAGACATACTACTCCTTACCCTCATTGTGCCATAGGAACCCAATTCCTCTTCAACAAAGTCAGTCACTCTGACCAGACAGTGACCCTTTTTCTTTGACTGTTGCAAAGAGCAGCCCAAGGTAGCCAGGTGACAACGTCACCTTCTAGTTTAATAGAACCGTTGGTGTGTCCTCTGGTGATTTTTATTTATTTTATGGATTCTTTTTTTAATAGAGATATAATTGGCATATAACATTATATTAGGTTTAGGTGTACAACATAATGATTTGATATATGTATATATTGGGAAATGATCACCACAGTCAGTTTAGCTAACATCTATCACCACATATAGTTACAGATTTTTTTCTTGTGATGAGAACTTTTAGGATTTATTCTCTTAGCAACTTTCAGATATATAGTACAATACTGTTAACTATAGTCACCATATATCACATTATATCCCTGGGCCTTATTTATCTTATAAGTGGAAGTTTGTATCTTTTGACCACCTTCCTCTCATTTCACCCCCCATCCCCCTACTCTGGCAACCACCAGTTTGTTCTCTGTATGTATGAATTAGTCTTTTGTTTAGATTCTACATATAAATGAAATTATATAGTATTTGTCTTGCTCTGTCTGACTTTTTTCACTTAGCATAATGCTTTCAGGGTCCATCCATGTTTTCACAAATGGCAAGATTTTCTTCTTTTTTATTGCTGAGTAATATTCCACCACGTGCATGCATGCCTAAACTTCTTTATCTACTCACCTGTCAGTGGATGCACAGGTTGTTTCTATGTCTTGGCTATTGTCAGTAACGCTGCTATGAACATGAGGGTGCATATATCTTTTGATGTATAAGATAGAGATTTTGTTTCCTTCGGATAAATACCCACAGTGGGATTGCTGGATCATATGGTAGTTCTATTTTTAATATTTTGAGGAACCTCCATACTGTTTTCCATAGTGGCTGCACCAATTTACATTCTCACCTGTAGAACACAAGGGTTCCCCTTTCTCCAAACCCTTGCCAATGCTTGTTATTTGTCTTTTTGATGATGCCATTCTAACAGGTGTGAGGTGATAGCTCGTTATGGTTTTGATTTGCATTTCCCTAACAATTAGTGACAATTGAACACCTTTTCATACACCTGTTGGCCTTACATATGTCTGCACTGGAAGCTGTCTATTCAGCTCCTCTGCCCATTTTTTAATCAAATTGAGGTTTTGTTTTTTTGGGGGGGTTTGTTTGTTTTGTTTTGGGGGGAGATTGCTATTGAGTTGTATGAGTTCTTTATATATTTTGGATATTAACCTCTTGTCAGATATATAGTTTGCAAATGTTTTCTGCCATTTGGTAGGTTGCCTTTTCATTTTGTTTATGGTTTCCTTTGCTGTACAGAAGCTTCTTAGTTTGATGTAGTCCCACTTGTTTATTTTTGCTTTTGGTATCAAATCTAAAAAATCACTGCCAAGACTGATGTCAGGGAGCTTACCCCATGTTTGCGTCTAGGAGTTTTCTGGTTTCAGGTCTTATGTTTGAGTATTTAATCCAGTTTGAGTTGATATTTGTGTAGGATGTAAGATAGGGGTCCAGTTTCGTTCTTTTGCATGTAGTTGTTGCTTTTTCTAACACTGTTTATTGAAGAGACTATCCTTTACCCATTGCATATTCTTGTTTGTTTGTTGTAAATTAATTTATCATACATGTATGCGTTTATTTCTGGGTACTTTGCTTTGTTCCATTGATCTATGTGTCTGTTTTAAATGCCAATACCGTATTGTTTTTTTAATAAATTTATTTATTTATTTGTGGTGGCCTTGGGTCTTCGTTGCTGCCTGCGGGCTTTCTCTAGTTGCAGTGAGTGGAGGCTACTCTTTTTTTTTTTTTTTTGCCGTACGTGGGCCTCTTACTGTTATGGCCTCTCCCGCTGCGGAGCACAGGCTCCGGATGCACAGGCTCAGCGGCCATGGCTCACGGGCCCAGCTGCTCCACGGCATGTGGGATCTTCCCGGACCGGGGCACAAACCCGTGTCCCCTACATCGGCAGGCGGACTCTCAACCACTGCGCCACCAGGGAAGCCCCGGGGGCTACTCTTCGTTGCAGTGTGTGGGCTTCTCATTGCGGTGACTTCTTTTGTTGTGGAACACATGCTCTAGGCATGCGGGCTTCAGTAGTTGCAGCATGCGGGCTCAGTAGTTGTTGCACATGGGCCCTAGAGCATGTGGGATTCAGTAGTTGTGGCACACAGGCTCAGTAGTTGTGGCTCGTGGGTTCTAGAGCACAGGCTCAGTAGTTGTGGCACATGGGCTTAGTCGCTCCACAGCATGTGGGATCTTCCCAGACCAGGGATCAAACTCTTGTCTCCTGAGTTGGCAGGCAGATTCCTAACCACTGTGCCACCAGGGAAGTCACTACCATATTGTTTTGATACTACTGCTTTTTAATATATTTTGAAATCAGGAAGTGTGATGCCTGAAACTTTGTTCTTCTTTCTCAGGATTGCTTTGTCTATTCAGGGTCAGATTTTAGAATTATTTGTTCTATGTCTGTGAAAAATGCCATTGGAATTTTGATAGGGATTGCATTTAATCTGTAGATTGCTTGGTTAGTATGAACATTTTAGCAATATTAATTCTTCTGATCCATGAACACAGAATATCTTTCTATTTATTTGTGACTTCTTCAGTTTCTTTCATCAGTGTCTTGTAGTATTCAGTGTACAGGTCTTTCACATCCTTGGAGATATATATATATATATATATATATATATATATTTGTAGGCATTTTGTTCTTTTGATGCAATTGTAAATAAGACTGTTTTTTAAATTTCTCTTTCTGGTAGTTTGTTGTTAGTGTAGAAAAACACAACTGATTCTTGTACATTGATTTTGTATCCTGAACTTTACTGAATTTATTGGTTCTAACAGTTTTTTTTTGTGAAGTCTTTAAACTTTAGGATTTCCTATGTATAATACCATGTCATTTGAAAATAAAGACAGTTTTACTCCTCCTTTCTGATTTGGGTACCCTTTATTTTTCTTGCCTAATTGCTCTGGCTAGGACTCCCAGGACTATGTTAAATAAAAATGGCAAGAGTGGGCATCCTTGTCTTGTTCCTGATCTTAGAGGAAAAGCTTTCAGTTTTTCACCATTGACAATGAAGTTTGCTGTGGGCTTGTCATATACGGCCTTTCTTATGTTGAGGTATGTTCCCTCTATACCCACTTTGTAGAGCGTTTTTATCAAGAATGGATGTTGAATTGTGTCAAATGCTTTTTCTGCATCTTAGATGATCATATGATTCTTATCCTTAATTTTGTTAATGTTGTGTATCAAGTTGATTGACTTGTAGATTTTGAACCATTCTTGCATCCTGAAATAAATCCTACTGGATCATGGTGTATGATCCTTTTAATGTATTGTTGAATTCAGTTTGTTAATGTTTTGTTGAGGATTTTTGTGTCTATATATATCAAGGATATTGGCCTATAATTTTCTTTTTTTGTGGTGCCCTTTGTGTGGTTTTGGTATCATGGTAATGCTGGCCTTGTAAAATTTGTTTGGAAGCATTCCATCTTCTTCAATTTTTTGGAAGCATTTGAGAAGTATAGGTATTAAATTGTTGAATTTGGAAAAATTCACCAGTGAAGCCATCTTGGTCCTGGACTTTCATTGTTGGGAGGTTTTTGAT